TGACTAATCTGCTAATACCAAGTGTCAGTATGGATTTGGAACAAGTGTAACTCATACATGGCTAGCGAGAATGGAAAATACTAGAACCATTCAGAAAAGAAAGAATGTGGAGGCTTCTTAGAGAGGTTAACATGGGGTCCACAGGTGGCATGGTGGCTAAGGATGCTGGGCTCCCATATGACCGATCGCGGTTCGTGTCCTGGACCTGGCGGCTTGCCTTCTCACTTTCTCTCTCTCTCTCTCTGTCCCTCTGTGGTCAAATTAAAATAAATAAATAAATGTAAATAATTCCTTTTAAAAAAGGCAAACACATTGTTTCATATGAACCAGAAATTCTATTCCTAGGTGTTCACCTCAGAAATGCAGGACATGCCCACACGAGGTCTCATCACGTATGTCCATAGTGCACACAAAGTGGAGATAACAGAGCTAGCCACTAGCAATGGTGGGGAAGCCGCGGAACATTCATGCAGTGACATCCTACTCGGCAGCGAACAGAAATGCCCTGGTGGTCACACGACGGTGTGAATCCATTTCAAGATGATGTTGCGTGAAAGCAGACAGACACGAAGGAATACCTGCGTATGAGTGCACTTAGACGAAGCCTTAGGAAAGACAACCCACTGTGAGAGACAGGAGCAGGGCTGGCCTGTTGTGGCATGCACTTGTGTGGAGGAGGCTGACCAGGATGGGCGTGAAGGAACCGTTTGGGGTTCCTATGTTCCGTACCTCGACTGCTGCGGAGGTAACACGGGTGCAGAACTGCACCTAAAATGCATTTTACTTTACATAAAATACATGTATAGTAAATTATAAATTATTATAACAGATGATACCTCGATAAAATGGATTTAAATGGAAAACGCTGAGTGAAGCATTTGCATTTTCTCCTCTGAACGTATTCTTCCCTTTGTACTCCCACAGGCAGCTCCACAAAACGACGTGGTGGGTGAAAGAGCTGGATACGGACAGTAAGTTACTGCCCTGAGAGAGCGCGTTCCCTGCAGAAAAACGACTGAGTTAGAGTGAACTGCTTCATTCACTCACTCAGCGAGCAAGAACGATGCAGTATCAAGCTGAAAAAGAAACCATTTCCGCAGTCCAGCAAAGAGAGAGACGAGCTAGCACATGACTGGGATCCGGTGTACGTCCATTGGGGTTGGGGAAGGTTCACCGGAAACACAGACTTCCCTGATAAGCCAACACCTGAGCTGGTAAGGTACAAGGGAGTTCGGTACAGAGAGCGAGAAGGCGTTCAGCAGAGGGAGCATGTGGGAAAGGGCCAGAGGCAGAGATGCACCCGTCAGGTCCCTCGGGAGCTCAGGAGGCGTGGGCCACTGACTTTACCCCTACTCGGTCATGGGTCATGGCATGCCTTGACTGAAAGAAGTTGAAAAAACACTGCTGTAGCTTGAGCAGTGTGTAGACAGGCTGTGTTCTGTATGATGGTACCCAGATTACTGCGGGTCATCTAAAAGGAAAAGAACTACCATCGGTCAGCATCCTTCCTGTTGCAAAGAACACACGTTGTTTGGCTCCTACAGTGAAATGGTCCCCAGGTGGGCTGGTGGGCGTACCTCAGAGCGACAAGGACAAGAGCAGCCCTTGGCTCTCTCCATGCCTGGGCTGCCGCAGCTCCCAAACCTATATAGCCCTCATTCCAGCTTCCCTTACACCGAAGCCCATGAGCACCTGTCCCTGGCCCCCACAGGTCTCAGACTCTGCAGTGATCCTGAGGCAATCGCTGTGGGCAGAGAAGGTACACGGTGACCGCTGGGCCAGTACCCGGATGTCCTGGCCTCACCTGAAGCATGTGCGGGAGGGCAGGCCTCCCAGTAAACATCAGACCCTTTGTGGAAGAAGGGAGGCTAGGCACATGGGAGAAGTTACAGTTCTTAAAACCAGATCCCAGCCATTTGGAAACAAGCCAGGGATACAAACACATATGGGCATGGTTTTCCTTGTTTCTTCCCCACCTAGGGCAAGTTGATGAAAACTGCCTTGAGAACACAGTGGCATCAAGACCATGTACAGCAGCCAGCAGGTGGGTGGTGGCTAAGGGCACTGGACTCACACATGGCTGACTGGTTTGAGTCCCGAACCTGGCAGCTAGCTTTCTCTTTCTCTTTCTCTCTCTCTTTCTCTTCCTCTCTCTCTCTCTCTCTCTCTCTCTCTCTCTCTCCTTCTCTGGTCCAATTAAAGAATATAAATAAATTAAGTTAAATAAAATAATTCTTCCCAAAAAATGTAACAAAAAACTATTGTCCACATTGTAAGCACCGTATGAGTGGGTAAGCGGTTTCATGCGTAAGAGCGGATGGCGTAATTAATCCCGATGTACAGGCTCTAGGGCATTTTCACTGGAAAGGAGTGTTTCTGTGAGTTTGTGGAGCCCTGAAGGATAGAGAAGCTCCTCTGTCAAGAGACAGAATCCACAGCCCCAGCGGTCGAGGGCCGGGAGGCTGAGGCAGAGGGCGGCGGATCCAAGCAGAGGTGTGGCATGGAAAGGCCAAGGTATGGGGAATTTTTTCCACTATTCTATAATGGAGGATTTTTGAAAAAAAAAAAATTGTTTTTAGACTTTTGCCATAGGGTGCATGGGCTCGCTGGAAAGAGACAGGGAGAGGGAAAGTGAGAATTCACCCCCAGGAGGGATGGCCACACGGCAATCCCTTCTCCATTCTGTTCCCGGGATTTTGGCCATACACGAAAACATGGCTGGCATGGTTTTCTCCTCCATTCTCCCTTTGAGCCACTGAGTCCAGGACTCAAACTATGGTTGGCCATGTGCAAGCCCAAGGCCTTAACCATCATGCCACCTGCTGCCCCAAAACTGCGCAGTGTTTTTAAGCAAAGGAGTGACATAATCTAACCTGCATGGAGGAAACTGTAGGAATAGGGTAAACACTTTTTGAGACAAGAAGGAAGAAGATAAGAAAGGGGGCAGGAGAGCTAAAGTTTAAAATAGAAGACTCAGGGAGCTCAGACTTAATGGTCCCCACACCCTGAGTGTGAGAGGGTACTGGACAGTTAAGTCGAAAATGTGAAGAATCCGGCATGACCAAAACGTTCTGATCAAGAAGGTAGTTCAATAAATTCTTGCATAACGTAAGGTCATAGCACATACATTAGAGAGAACTGAAATGCGTAAGAGCCGAAAAAAATCGGCCCACTAGGCCACTTCACCATCGGTGCCATGGGCTCGGTAGAGGAGGGACGTGAGGGTCACTGTTCACTCAGCCCCTCGTGACCACTGGCAGAGCAGACAAAGTGATGTCGGGGCTTGTAGGGGTGGGACGGTGCGAGGGGGAGGAGCCAGCTGAGACAGGGTGAGCAGGTGGAGTTAGAGGGGGCGGCAAGGACAGCAGGACTGCCTCTCATCTGCCTCTAACACAGGATTTGAACCAGCAGCCGGGAGCGGCTCCTAGCAGAGAGGAGTAGCAGTAGCAGCAAAACCTGTGGCTGCCCACTGGGTTTGGGGGGCTGCCCACCGGGTTTGGGGGGCTGCTCACCGGGTTTGGCTTCAGGACCAGATTCAGGACGACTGCCTAGGCCGGTCTGTTCCTAAAGAAAGGCTCTGCTACGCCATGTGCATTTTATTTTTAAAACAGACGTAGTCTCGACTATCAAATGCAATGATGGAAATACTAACAATTGGGCATTCCTCGTATATTACCTCTGCTAGTTGACCTTAAAATGTATCACATAAAATTACCCGCCTGGTGTGTTGTAGTTTAAAGCATCACATTCAAATATCCCTTATCGTTTGGTGCTAGACAGCATGGGAGGTACAAAGAGCAGACGCAACCAGCCCCATCTGTTACCCTCCCTCCACCAAGTACGGGGGAGAGAGACTAAACTTCCTAGGGGCCTATAACTAGGGCCAGACGTCCTCGGCTTACTATCCTGGAGCAGTGTGTCTCTTTTTTAAAAAGTTCATGAAGCTTCACCTATGAAAAGCCAAGGTGCCAGCTAGGTGGCACAGTGGTTAAGGCAGCTGACTCGCGCAAGGCTGACTGTGCAGTTGAGTCCTGGACCGGGAAGCTTGAAAAATATGCCAGGCGTGTGTGTGTGTGTGTGTGTGTGTGTGTGTGTGCGTGTGTGTGTGTGTGCGCGTGTGAGTGCCCAAAATCCCAAAGGGAGAATGGAGGAGACGGGATTACAACATGGCCATCTTCCCGGGGATTGAGAATGAAAAACCGTTACAGAAATCACTCTCCCCACTCTCTCTCTCTGGGGAACACACGTACCCTATAGCAAAACTGCAAGAAAGGCAGAAAGGAAGGAAGGAAGGAGTCAAAGCCGAGGGATATCTGTGACACATCTGACCCTTATCACCTAACACGTACTTCTTCCTAGTATTTTGGAATTTTGTCAGTAAGGGAGGATGGAGAACAATCATCTTAGGTATGTGCCTGTCTACTCAATGAGCGTGCACTTGTACATACAGAATGGCAAAGCGTATGACTGCAACATACAGTAAAACAGGGCTCATTAAGAACCAATCACAGGGGACCAGCAGATGGCGTAATGGTTCCATTGCTGGACTCCCACATGGTCGACCACAGTTTGAGTCCTGAACCCGGCAGCTTAAACTCACGCTAGGTGCATGTACATGTGTGCCCAAAATCCTGAGAGGAGAATGGAGGAAAAGGGATTGTGGCATGGCCAACCCTCCTGTGGGGGGGGAGGTGATTTCTCCCTTTCTGTCTCTCTGTCTCTCCCGCAAGCACACATGCCCTTTAGCAAAAATCTCTTAAAAAGAAAAAGAATCAATCACAGAATAAATTATTTAGTCTTAGAAAGTCAACTAGTACTTAATGAAAAAAAGCATATAATATAAATTTCAAAATTAATAAATTATACCAAACTCCAACATACTTGAAGTCCTGTGCTAAACTTCATACATGTAAAAATACATACCATCACAATAAAAGACTCATGAAATGCATTTAGATAAACCTTAGTAAAATTCTAGGCGATCAATAAGAGTATCAGTCTATTGATTAGAGTTTTATTGAAGTGATCAGCATCTTGAATTGGAATCTAAGCTCAAAAGACAATGGGTTTTTTACTTTTTCCCCATACTATTATTCCATATTACAGAAATGGTAGGTCTTAGGAAGTCATATAAAATAAGATCCTTCACTCATAATAAAGACCAAAATCAGATCGATGGCTTGTTTCATGCCTTCAATTCTAGAATTAACCTCCACTACCTACTTGTAGTCTCTCAGCTGCTCCACCCCAGAAAGCAATCTTGTCTCGCCAAACTTCAGCAGAAGTGGATGTGGTTTTGATTCTTCATTTCCTTACATGTCTTCCGTGGACATTTCCAAAGTAACAGCACCTGGCGAGAGGTCTCAGCATGCCACGTGGTCCACGCGAGGGACAAGGTGGAGGAGTCAGAGGGTCACCCATCCCTTTCTGCCATTCAGACAGGGAGGAATAAAACAGTGCCAGACGAAGACGATTAGCCTTGACCTTCCTCAGCAGAGAAGTTTAAGGGAGAGACAAAATGGAGAGGGACCTAGAAGGTCTCTGGAGAAGGAAAAATTGTTCCAAAAATCAAAGTACATATTTGAATCCCTACTTCAAAGTTTTATCAGTTTCAAATCTTCGCACATTCTGCCCCACCCTGGCTCTGAGTGAAGAGCGACTTACAAGACAAAATAGAACATTATCTGGAGATACACTTATAGAATGACAGACAAGGACTGCTCGAGGAGCTACATTACCTCTTGAAGTTTATTACAGTATCTTTAGTTCTTATTGCATATATTATTACATGCCTTGTACACGTCAGCATTTTATATGCGTGCGTATATGTATGTACACATATGCACACGCATACATACGTGTACACACACACAGTATGCTCAATTTGGCAGTCCGGGCTATTGCTTCTCTCTTGAAAATCAGTAGCATGCAATGCAATTATTTGGTGTGCAGACTCAATGTTTCAAAAAGTGAAAAAACTACCACTTAGGTTTAACTGAGAAGAGAACATGATCTTTATTGGCTTATATGTGAAGTTTACTTTTGGTTTTATGCAGACTTTGCATAGTTCATGATTAGTTCCTAATGAAAAACTAGACGTGTAGTCAGCGACCTTGAAGAAGATCAGGTAACAGTAGCAAACAGAAAAATCTGAAGAAGAGGCATAACTTTTAAAGTAGAAAGGTCAGCAAGAACTGCCTGAAACAAGAAACAAACAACAAATTAGTAATAGCAAAGTGAGATCTGTGACATGAAGGGCGACACGGACAGCAGTGCGATGGCATTTGGGCAGCAACAGGCGATCTAAGTTACTAACTGGCCCTAATCTCTACTAGAGCGAGCACTTCCCGTCTCTTGTCTGAATTTCTTAATGTCAGTACATGTGCAAAACGCTGAGCCGTGAATAGGGAAAGTAACCTGGACTTTAGCCTCGAGCCTTCTTCAAATATACAAGGTAGCATGAGTTTATAAGAGGTCTAACATTTCAACTCGCTTCTATAAATAAACGCACGTTACGAGTCCTGGTCCCGTTTTTCTAGTGTGAGGAGCAACGGGCTGCAGGAAGTCACTCAGATGGAACTCATGTTTATTCAGTTGCGAGATGCATAAACATCCTCTTCCCTTTAAACAAAGAATGTAGGCGGCTATTTTAAGGATCAAATTTATACCTCTGCGAGATAATGGACAGAGTAACACGGTAAGCGCTATTCGATGGGACCGCATTTTAGCTAGAAATTATAACCCTGCAAAGGTACGGCTTTAAATACTTAACGCACAGTTGAAAGCTACCTAGGTACCTTGACTATCCCATCTAAATACATGCTCTTTAACGCTTTCCATTAGTTTTCCTTTGTTCTAAAGGCAAAACACATGGATGTGAATGGTAGTAAAAAAATGGAACATCCATGGCTATCGTTTCTTTCCACATTACTAGGATTCTGGTTTCCCAGATGGCTGTAATAGTTTCTTATAATCGTCTTGTTTACGACCCCTCATAAGGAGACTGCTTTCAACAATTAAAGCGAATTTGTCCTAAGACGTACTAGTACTTAGTTCAGAACTGACAGGTTCTACCCAAGTTACAAGATTCCTCTACAAGCAGTTGTGTCTATGCATGAGGCACTAGCATGCCCGAGCCTGGCAGTCTCTCAGGAACTATTTCCAGCCCCTCCAAGTGAAACGTAGCCTTACTTCAGCTGCAGCCAGTGATGTCACCTCCATCAGGTTCACTGCTCGGAAAGCAAACACAGCCGCTGCCAGGACTGGAAAAGAATGCACACTGTGTCAACTGTGGGCCTACTCATCAGCACAGCCAGGGCTGTGCCCCAGCCCGCTCTGCAAGCCCAGGGCTGGTGTTCCACGGGGCACACCCAGCCGTCAGAGTGACGGTCGCACAATGATCGGAAGCTGTCAGCTCTAAGGAACATTGCCCAATAGCTAGGAAAGCCAAATCCCACCGTGCCGATGCTGTGGTTTAAGTGTAACCTCTCAAAACTCGTGTTGAAAATCTGGTTATCGTGATGGTGTTAAAAGGGTGAGAACTTAACCCAGCTATGGTATTACGAGATGGGCCTTTGAGAAGTCATTAGGGTTAGATAAGGTCATTGGAGGGGTGCCCCCATGATGGGGTACTGGTGGCTTCATAAGAAGCGGGGGAGGCTCACAGCTGACACACACCCTTGCCCTCTCGCCATTTGAGGCCCTGCACTACCTCGGGACGCTGCAGAGCCCCCAGCAGCAAAGAGGCCTTCCCCAGAGGTAGCCCCTCAACCTTGCGGCTCCAGAACTGTGAACTGAATAAACTTTTATTCTTCGCAAATTACCCAGTCTGTGGTATTCAGTTACAGCACAGAAGAATGGACTAAAACTGCTGGCCACAGGGTGGAAGCCACCACGCCCCTGGACTAAACCGCTGGGAAATGAGAAAACTCAGTAGTCTTAAAAAAGCAGCTTAGAAGTGATTTCGTTCATACCTACAACTTAAATGATGAAAGTTTAAAAATGGCATGAAGGTCTAATGACTATCTTATAAATTAAGTTTTATTTCCATGTAGGTGTTTCTTACTAATGCAATGGAGAGACTTTCGAATAGTTACATGGAGACCAGATCCTTAAATACGACAGATAATGTTTCACATACCAAGAAGGTGTCCTGATAAAAACACAGCAATAAAGTCTTTTCTTAAAATATTTCTGCAATTTTTTAGATTATATTTACGTTTTTATACGAAGCACTGACTCGCTGAGAGTGTTGCAAATAAACCTATCTGTAAGGAGGGTGGCCATGGGATCGACCTTGACATTTATATTTGTGTTGCTAAAGGAAAAATAAGTTGAAACTTTGAAAAAAAAATTGTGGGGACCAGCAGTTAGCGTAATGGCTATGTCGCTGAACTCCCATGTAGTTGACTATGGTTTGAGTCCCAGACCCGGCAGCTTAAACTCACACCAGGCGTGCGTGTGTGTGTGTGTGTGTGCCCAAGATCCAGAGAAGAGAATGGAGGAGAAGGGATTGTGGTGTGGTGTGGCCATCCCCCGGGGGATGATTTGAATTCTCACTTTCTATTTCTCTGTCTCTTTCTGGCAAGCACATGTGCATTATAGCAAAAATCTCTCCAAAAAAAAAAAGAAAAATTGTGACAACTTGAAGGTTACTACTATACATTAAGTTGAAAACAACTTCAGATCCTTGTTTCTGTTAAATCTATGCATACGGAAAACAGCAGTGCTAACATGTGATACACGCTAACACACACTCTGCTATAAACCCGTGTGTGAGAATTAGCCATCGACCACAGAAGGACCCATGCAAGAGGCAGCCATCCTAGTCAAAGCATGGTTTGTCTGGAGAACTCTTGGCTGCTGCTTCTCCTCCCACCACCACATCAACGGTGAAGCTGTGCATGTCCTAGCCAGGAAGTCACTGGGGCTCAAGCAACTTGTGGCGAGAAAGATTCAAGGGCCGGCCCCGTGGTGCAGTGGTTACGCACTGTGCAGGGGCAGATCGAGCCCACGTGGCTGACTGTGGTTTAAACTCTGGTGCGGTGGCCTGAGAAACATGCCACACGTGTGCACACGCTCAGGATCCTGACAGAGACGAAGGTGGTGTTGAGGCCTGGCCCCACTGAGGAGCGCTTTCCTAGCTCTTCCTCGCACGTGCACACATAGGCCCTTTGGCATTAAAAACATTAAATTAAATTAAAAATTAAAAAGAAATAAAGAAGAAATACTCAAAATTATTTGGAAGACTAGTTCCTACGTATATTGCATAGCTAATGCAGACATATAAATGTTTTTGAATCCATTTTTTTTTTACTATGGAATAATAATAATAGCAAGTTAGTTAACATACCAACTCTATGAGTTCAGTAGTATTATCAGCCTCATTTTACTAATATAGAAACTAAGGCAAAACGAGTTGGTGACAGGTTCAGGGTCACACAGGTAAAAATAGTACAGCCCATCATCCTCCCGGCCCCTCAGCCTGTGCATCTGAGTGCCGTGCGACAGTGTTGCTGGGGTGGGAGGTGAGCAAGAACCACGCACCCCTGGAGGAACCTCTGTGTGCTTTCTGGATTATTCTCCATGGAAGGCACGAAAGACCTTGCTAGGGTGGTGCCGGGCTCTGAGGGCCGTGCCTGAGGAGCAGCAGTGAGGGACAAGGCTGCTGAACTTCCCAGATGGGCAGGGTGTGACCAGAGACCGGGCGGCACAGGTGCTCCGCTAGGAGATGCAAGAATTTGGACAGCCTAGCACAAAAACGCCAGAACTACTAGAGAGGAGAATTCTGGATGGAGAGAGCTGGGAGTGGTAAGACAAATGAAAAACAGTCCGTTGGCTAGGATTATTCAGTATGTAACAGGATACGAGAGAGCTGGGATGAAAGATATGCTCTTTATTTGAAAAGGAGAAAACTTAAGTGCTTTGAAGTCACTAAGCTTCATGTGTACAAAAATCTGCAAGAAGACCACTTTTGTGGACCAGCAAGTCTTTATGGATTGCTGATACCCGGAATAGTATTCTGTACAGTGGAGGCATTGTAGGAGCTAAGGAATACGGTCACTGCTTCCCTTTTATACGTAATTGACAGAGCTGCTGAAAGATTGACAGGGTGGCCAGATTTTCTGCGACAGCAGGAAAGAGTCTCACAGATGGGAAACTGTTTTCCAAAGGTAGATAGGAGGGAGGAGAAAGAACAGCTCACTAATCGACCTCAGCATCCAAATGCTTATGTGCTCATGACCTCTATTTATCTTGGTGTCACATCACAGAAGTTCCTTTCTGCCGCTTCGTGTTTGCTTTGCCCAGCCCTTCCACAGAACAGATCTATTCGCTAAGGAAGAAAGACCTAGACTTCGGGGTATTTTCAACTGAGATCATGCTTCACACAAAATCCAGAAACTCTGCTGTTTACTTCTGGTCTTTTAAACTAGTCTCGTGACTTTAACTCTAACCAACTCTGTCCCAAACATGAAGACACTTTCTCTTTAAACATTCAATAGGCTCGAACGAACGCTCAAAGCTAGGGATGTTATAGCATTTCTAAAGACTACACAATAACTCACTTGGTCAACAAAGGTAGTTCCCAAACACTCACATCAAAAATGTATGCAATAACCTCTCCAAAAAAAAAAAAAATACTTCGTGATCTCACTTACACTTGGAATGTAAAAAAAGTCAAACTTAGGGGACTAGCAGATAGCATAATGGTTACACTGCTGGACCCCCACGTAGTTGACGGCGGTTCGAGTCCCAGTCCTAGCAGTTTTAACCTCACACCGAGCGCATGTGTGCCCAAGATCCCAAAAGGAGAATGGAGGAGAAGGGACTGCAGCAGGGTCACCCCCACAGAGGGAGTGATTTCTCCCTGTCTCAATGTCTCTGTCTCTTTCTCTCTGGCAAGTGCACGAGCCCTATAGCAAAAATCTCTTAAAACAGAACGTCACTCATAGGAGTGGAGAGTAGAATTATTGGAAGGAAAGGAAGGGTGGGAAAGGGTAATGTTGGTCAAAGGGTATAAAATTTCAGTTAGACAGGAGGACTCAGCTTTAGTGATCTATTACACAGAATGATGACTATACTAAATTATAAAGCATTATATATTTCCACATGTCTAGAAGGGTAAATTTTAAATAAACCCCCCAAAAAAAAAAAAAAAAAGGGGGGGGGACCAGCAGTTAACGTAATGGCTATGTCACTGGACTCCCACATAGTCAACCGCGGTTCGAGTCCTGGACCCGGTGGCTTAAACTCATGCCAGGCATGTGTGCATGTATGCAAATGCAGCTCGTAAATGTTCTTGGATTAGAAATAACAACAGCAGGCTCAAAATTCAATTATGGGTGGTGAATATTAGAAAGGAAAGGGGCCTCGCTACGGAAACAGCATGGATATCATAAACAAGCGTTTACTCTCACCAGCAAGAATTTCCAGTGAGTTGTATCCTAGGATTCGATCCCACAAAAGCAAAAGTTGATCTGTAGCTAAGTATCCAGAGAAAGCGCGGACCATCCACTTAAATGATATGCGAAGTCTGCAAGCAAAGAAAATGCAAGTTAATTCACCCCTGGAATTTTCTTTACATAAAGGCAGTATTGGCAGTCCACCTAATGTTGGGGTTACCATAACCCCCGTGAGTCCTAGAAGTCATGCTGGCATTTAAAACTCAAGTAGTTTTTAAAAGCAGCAGTGAGGAGCCGAGGTCCTCCCTTAGTGGCCGGCCAGTACAAGAATTCCATGTGCCGGATCCAGCTTTATGTGAGAGTTCCGCCTTTGTAAAACCAACGTCTCCGTCCTGTCTTCCGGGGTGTGTGCTAATTAATTGTCAACCAAGCCGATTTTCTACCAGTCTTAATTCTAGGCCGGTTGTGATCATTTCCAGTTTTATGCAAAATACTTGAGAGAGTGTTCAATGGCTTTTTATTTTTTCAGTTCAACAAATTCCATTCTTACATTTCAATCAAGTGACTACGCGGGATAAACAGAACAATGGGTAGGAGTTTTGAAGCACACAGAAAAAGAGTTTTAAAACTAGAAGAGACCTTAGAGAATGATTGTTTGACTTGAAACACTCCATTTTAGTGGGATTACCAGAATTCGAAAAACCAACCAGAAATTTCAACTGAATTCCATTTTCCTAAAAAACGAAAGCGGTATGAGAGCCCACTATTTAAAGTAGGCTGTGTTATAGTAGCAGTTTCTCTCTAAAGTCAGGACACAAACTCTTTGGCTCTGACGCCTAAAAAGATACACTAACTTTTCAGATTTCCATATAGATCTGTTTGCATCTAAAATGCTCTTGTCTGATCCTGCAAGGTCCTAGCCAAACTCTTTGTTGAAGCTGTTACAATATTATGTAAATAAGTTTCTATGCTATTTTCTTTTCTTTCTTTTTTTTTTTTAATCTATGCTCTTTTCTTGAAAGTGAAAATGAGACCCAAAGATTGCCTAGGTTGGCATCATTGTATTCTCTTAAGACTGAAAAAGATCCACAAGTCTCAGAAATCCCTCAATTCTGGGTCACTATGGTTCTCACATAACAAAGTACATTTAGGCAGTAGTACTGACAAATTAAGTTTTTTAGTTGGTTTTAGAACATCTTTTTATAGATGCCAAAAGAAAAAAAAAAACTTTTGACTGCTGGATATTTTAATATTTTTTTTAAAATGCATCTGACTTTTAGTTCTAAAATACTAACTTCAGTTAATTTTATTAAATGTCCACCTACCTACTCGGCCATCCATCTGCTGTGGACTCAAGTCTGAAGAAGAAAAATACTACACTATTCTATTACCCATTAACTCCTTTTCTGGCCTCAAAGAGCTCATGCTCTTCTCAAATATGTCTGTTCTTCGTAAGGTAAAATGGCTGCTCAGAGAACACAGGAACAAACCATTGATAAATTACTTCAAGTTCTGCTGCTTTAGAGGTTGCTACTTAACAAGAGAGAGGCAGGGCCAGTAATATTGAAGTCCAGAGCTACTCTATGAATTCACATGTAACCCATACTGAAATTAATGGAACAAGTTCAGACTTTGGGAAGGAGAAATCAGCGTACAACCATTGGGAGGTCATCGAACTGGTGGTGTCCTTTAATGCAAGTCAGCCAACTTTAACCTTCTCCGGTAAATGTAGCCTACACTGACTTAATTTTAGAATCACATTTCTCAGGTAGATTGGTTCCCACAAATGTAAGCCTCAATTTTGGCTAACACCTTTTGTTATGAACAGAAACTAGTTCATTCTGGTGTTTCTTGTACCAGATACAAAAATCTTAGTAAATAAGACTTGATTAGGATTTTGCAAATTCTTTCAAAAATGAGCACAGTGTTGTTAAAACTTATTTGTTGATAATTAGTGTTTTATTAGGTGAATGGTTAGCTTAATTTCTCTGAGGAATTACTGCATCTTCTCAAATGCTTTCCAATGATGAAACGAGAGCTTCCTTAGGTGAAACGACCTATTCTTCAACTAGGTGAGAGTAATACTCACGGTTGGGCCCCGATTTCTCTCAGATGATAAAAGAGTTGGGGGAGGTAAGTTTGAAGAAGAGTTTCAAACAACAAACAGAGCGACACAATACCCTGGAGACAGTCAGGAATCAAAAGAGAAATGAGTCTTTTAGTATTACAAAATTAATTATGCCAAAAAATGATCCAAATGGAAAAATTTTAAAAAATCAACATAAATATTCTTCGTATTGTCTGAGTCAAACACAGGACGTGCCCTAATGGATCGCTAACACTGTATTTAAGATAAATTTTATTCTTCTTTACACACATTTGTACTTTGTCAAGCTAGACTCTCCTTTTCAAGATGATAGGCTCCCTACATAAGCTAGCATGTGAGAATCCAAGTAAAACATCACTTCACACACAAAAAAACCCCTGCTACTCCGTATGCCTGGTATTATCACTTAGGCCCCCCAAAATGAGTTTTTTCTGGATGCAGTCCCGCTTCCAGGTACTTCCTTGGTCCCAGGACCACACCCTTTACCCCTCCTTCCATACGTCTGTTTTCCAGCCTCACCCACTGGGGAGAATATTTCCTGTTTTCCTCTCTTTGAAAGCCACCCCTGTGAAAAGACTGACTGCTGACTGCTTGAAATCTGCATCAGCAAGTTATGACACAAGAATGCTTGATTACTTAGTCTAATTTTTTTAACTGAAATCTACTTTTTTAAAAGGGCATTATTTGTCAAGTACAAGAAGTAACCGATTTAAGCAGATGGTTTTTCAAGTGCGTTTATTATTTGAGAGCTCTGAATAAAGTCTTTCTTGCAGCTCAGCATTCCTTAGGGTTGATCTAAGGAAGTTTTAATCCTCTTTCTGAGCTTCTGGGGGAAAAAAAAGGCTGTCATGATTCCAAATAGTTTAGTCTGGCTGCAGGCCCAAAAGGAGCTGCCTGCCTGTGAGCCTTTCTCCCACTGAATGCAGAAAGGGCAGGGGCAGCGCCGGCCCCGTCTAAGCTGAGAAATGACCCACGGGGCAGCGTGGGGATGGGGACGATGTCAGGGGCTGCCCGGCTTCGGGGCCCGGCACAGGCAGGACGCCACGGCCGTGCGCTGTAGAGTCGGTTGTTAAAAAATCGGAAGCATAAAACAGCATCGAATACAAGAGTAAATAAAATATATGAATAAACTATTAGAAAAGAATGATTACTATGGGGACCAGCAGATGGCATAACACTAACGTAGCTGGATTTCCACGTAGTCGACCATGGATCGAGTCCCAGACCCAGTGGCTTAAAACTCATGCTGGGCACGTGTGCGTGCACATCCAAAATCAGGAGAGGAGAAGTGAAGGGATTGTGGCATGGCTAACTTCCCTGGGGGGGGGGGCAATTGCTCACTTTCTGTCTCTCTGTGTCTCTGCTAAGCACACGCACCCTGTAGCAAAAATCTCTCTCTAAACAACGACAACAACAAGGAAATGAACTATTAATATTAATATTTACGGTTATTTTTAGATTAAACATTAGTGTAAGTTAAGAATTAAATCAAGTTCTCTAGGACGCACGAACTCGAGGTAAGTGGTGGTGCATTGTGGATCCCATGACATCCTTAAATCCTGTTAGTAGCCAGCTGTCACTACTAATGTGTGACAGCGCAACTGCAGATGGAGGAAGTAGAAAAAATAACTCTTAAAAAAATAGACTTAAATGGTGGCGGGGGGGGTTTTGAAAAACAGCAACTTTCAATTAGAGTAACACAGTCTCCTCGTTGAGGAATTGGCTAGTCCCGATACACTCCAATCAAATGCTTCTGGAGAGGCAGTCAAGCTACCCGTGGACAGATGGAAGCAGGGCCAGAGTGGGGAAGGTGGCGCATGTGAGATAGCGTAAATGCTGGCTTCACTCAGGCTCATGGGGAGGAAAAGAAGACACCATGAAGGAGTAGCCAAACTGAAAGACAAAAACGTTCAATCCCCCACTGTGCTCTTTGATTCTCCTACTGTGGCCAAAAGAGCTTCATCTCAGATAATACAAGTAAAATATCCAGGCTGATACTTAACAATTAGCTAGGATGAAACTGAGAAACCATTGATAAATACATGTTCAATCTGTATGAACAAAGAAGAGACCCTGATGCTAACTGTGCCCCAACACTGGACACCTGCCCGGAGGCTGGTCTAACTGCCCCAGGTGCACTGCGGGCTTCTCTGCATGCTACGGATGATTCGCTATGTTATAACTTCATTCCACAGCGGGGCAGTCAGCTAAGAAGGTGGGCATCTCTGTCAAGAATAGTAGCACAGACATTCTGCCTTTTCTTTCAATATTGAAAAGATAATATATATAAAAGGTCATTTAAATGTAGTTGATAAGAGACTTTTTCCTAATTAGCACCAAAAATATCTAAATATCAATGTCTTCTCCTTTACTGAGTCTACAGAAATATGTGCTTAACGCCACAAATTAAAACGTGTTCATTTTTAATTGAATTGAGCAGGAAACTTTTTTTTAAAAGGAAAGAACAGATTAGAGTCTGATTTGACCCAATTTCTTACAAACTTACAGAAGGATGAGAAGAGATAGAATGAAGCCTGAAGAAAAAACGCACATACATCTCACGGAATATCTGATACAATTTGGAAGGTTCATGGTACAGAAAACAAAGCGGTGCAACTGAAAGAAAAAAATCAATTGATAATACTTCAGAACTACTGAAAATTTTAAAGAAATCCATGAAATACGAAAGAATATATCACTATTTTATAGTAATTGCATTTACTTAGAGACAAGTTTAAAATCATACATGCATTGCATTTTTTCATTTCATTTTTTTAATACGGTTCAAACAGCCATTAAGTTTTATTTCTTTATAATATTTAATAAATTATAAACTATTACTATCTCAACTCAACAGTAGACTCAGAGTGGTATAATGGAATTGTATAAGGATATTAAAAATTTAAGCTAACTTTACAAACGCTTTTAAAAAACTACATAAAGTCAAGTCTCTGTTTTAAATTAAGTAGTAAGAAAGTGACAATCAGGCAATTCATTTTTACTTAGTCTCTCAAAGGATTCAAGCCACTTTGCATTTTCGGAAGTGAGGCAAGTAAATTTAAGATGGTTTATAAACAGCTTTCGGAATCATGGTCATCAGTGATTTCATTTTGAAAATAAGCATTTCAATGAATAGCTTTATACTATTGCTCTATATTGGCCTATCTCCATATCAAGATAGTTTTCACTGACTTAAAACCAACCTCAGGCACAGGACGCATTGCTCTAATGGATATCAAATTACGTTTGAGGACAGCAGATGGTATAGCAATGACATTGCTGGGCTCCCGCATGGCTGACTGTGGTTCAAGTCCCAGACCCTGTAGCTTAAAACTCATGCCAGGCTCATGTACATGTGTGGCCAAGATCTTGGGAGGAGAAGGGATTGTGGCATGACCAACCCTCCTGGGGATGATTTCTCCCTTTCCCCTCTCACTCTCTCTGTCTGGTGAGCACACGTGCCCTAAGGCAAACACACACACACACACACACACACACACACATATACACACACATACATACATATATTCTTTTTACCCAGTTCTTGGCCATTAGCACAGGGAGGTCAGCTCGGACATCCCACAGCTGGAAGTCAGAAAGGCCTAATCTTGGAGGCTGACCTGACCACACGATCATCCCACGCTGACAAACGTGGCTAGCTTTCTATCATTTGAAGACTCCAGACAGCATAAACACATGTAAAATGCACATAACACAGAGCGGTATCACCTAAATATTAGCATATTAATAATAAAAACGCCTGACATATGGTGTAATTTCAAATACTATAAATTGGACCGGCGGGAAGTGCTGAAGCCAGCTAGTGGTGTGGTAGTTAAGGAAGCTGGATCCCACATGGAGGATACTATGATTCTCATCCTGGGTCCAGCGGCTTGAAAAATACATGGGGACTTTGCGTGCACGCCCCAAATCACAACAAGATGGAGAAACGGAGGAGAAGGGATTGTGGTGTGACCATGCAGTGAAAAATTTTACTTTCTCTGAAGGACCAAAAAGAAACAAATCGCTTTTATTGAGGGTAAATATCGAAATCCTTCCAAAAATAACTACATGTAAGGCCAGCAGGTGGCGTGATGTAGGTTTTGGATTCCCACATGGCCAACTGCGGGTCAAGTCCTGGACCTGGTGGCTTGAAAATCACGCAGGGCGCGTGTGTATGCACATCCGAAACCCCAGGAGGAGAGTAAGAGAGGGGACTCTGGTGCGGCCATTCCCCTAGGGGGTGAGTTCTCACTTTCCCTCTCTGTCTCTATGTCTCTGGCAAGCACACAAGCCCTATGGCAAAAACCTAAAAATAAACAAACAAATAAATAAACAAACTTGGTGGGGGGAAAAAAACCTACACATACACAGACATATAAAAAAAATTCTATATAATATATGGTATATAAACAAAAAACTTTGAAAGCGAATTGGAATGTCCTGCTTCAAGATTAATTTTAAAAGCATTTTTGGATTAAAATACATTGCTACTTTAAGAAAATAGCCCCAATTAGAGTATTTCTATATTTAAAAGAATAACTCACATTCTAATTGCAATAACAATCTAAGAAAAGCAATGTGGCACAAATATGTAAAATTAATATAAATTCAAAATGAGGGTCTGGAATTTATTTACTTCTTTAAAATGATGTATTTTTTCCTCCAATTTTTCTTGCATCATTTACTTGCTTAACAAATGTTCTCCCTTCAAATGTAGGAACAGTGGCCTCTTTACCTGACCGTAAATGTCAATGGGCCGGGTCAATGATCTACTTTGAACACTGAAAACTGCTAGGTTTCAACTTGCATGTCATCCAGGGTTCTCCAGATCAGTTGAGCACACCTTCTAAAACCTTCACTTGAAAAATACTTGATTTGGAATGATTAAAATGGAAGGATAAAAGGACTAACATTTGTGTTATTAAAGGTAAAAATGTATACTCTTAACCTCTGTAGGTTTTCTATTTTCAATTCCTCGTTAATTTATAGCAGAGAATAGGCCGGGACCAGTAGATGGTGTAGGGGTTACATTGTTGGACTCCCATGTAGTCACTGTGGTTTGAGTCCTGAGTGGCTTAAAAGGGTGATCTCTCGCTTTCTGTCTCTCCAGCAAATGCAAGCACTCTATAGCAAAAATCTCTCTTAAAAACATGCTGAGAAGTGATATAACATCATGTATTATGATATGGAATTTAGATTGCTCAAGAAAATAGAGTATCCTAGAATTTAAGTGTATGACTAATCCAGTTGAGACAACACAATATAAAACCCGTAGGTATTTTGAATTCTTTCATTTTCATTGTAGGCTCGTTTTGTTGTTTCTTTGTTTCTTTGTTCTTTTTAGGTTTTGCCATAGGGCATGTGTACTTGCCGGAGAGAGACAGAGAGGGAAGGAAAGTGATAAGTCACCCCCTAGGGAGAATGGCCCTGCCACAATCCCTTCTCTTCATTCTCCCTGCAGCTTTTTGGGCATGCACACACCCATGCTGGTGTGATTTTCAACTTGCTGGGTCCAGGACTTGAATCGTGGCCAACCATGTGGGGTTTCAGTGCCTTAACTACCTTGCCACCTGCTGCCCCATTGTAGGCTAGTTTTAAAATCTTACATTATGACATTAACCATGACTTTCTTATGTTGTACACTGAGGAGAGTTTTGCAAAGAAAAGTGTTCATTTACTGCTGACTCTTGTTAAAAAAGCAAAACGTTATAATACTTGGGTTTCTTCTAAAGCCTGGAGTTAGAAACAAAGGGAGTTCTTACCATTAAAAAAAAAGAAAAGAAAAGAAACAGAGGGGACAAAATCTTTAAAAGTTTATACGCAATATGTGAAAATGAAGAACTAAGTAGCACTGGGGCTTGCAGGCGGCGGTGTGGTTAAGGTGCTGGATTCCCACCAGGTTGACGGCATCCCAGACCTGGTGGCTTGAAATTCACATTGGGCACATGTGCATGTGTGTCCAAAATCCCAGGAGGAGAATGGAGAAGGGATTATGGTGTGGCCATCCCCCTGGGGGGTGATTTCTCACTTTCCCTCTCACTTTCTCTGTCTCTCTCTGGCAAGCGCACGTACCATAGAGTTATGGGGAAAAAAAAACTGAAATAAAAAAAGTAGCATTAGATGTGGAGCATTCTTCCGCTTCTTAATCCTTTTAAGCTTTTCATCTTGTTCATTCGATGACACGCCAGGCCTGAAAGGCACGCAGAGCCCTCAGGCCTACACATGTGTTTTCCACATGCACCACCGGGTGGCCACATGCACTCACACCATTGAAGCTGTGTACACCAGTCGCCCAGGAACCCACGAGTTGCCCCCGCCTTTAGATTTTTTTCTGACTTAGTCATTTTTATAAAGACTCAAGAGAATTTGTCAAGAGAACTTAAGCAACCAGATTTTACGACTAGAACTAAATATGACCACGTATCTCTAGTTTCCATTGGATTAGAAAATGGTAAACCACTTTCACAGTACCTTCTAATTTGTCACCTAAACAACTACAATGGTGTAGTTAACCAATTAACCTTTATTGTTAATTTTTCTTAAGAGTTTTTTTGTTATAAGGCACGTGTGCTCGCCAAAGAGACAGCAAGAAATCGCGCTGCAGGGATGACCATGCTGCAATCTCTTCTCCTTCATTCTCCTCTAGGGATTTTGGGCACACACGCGCATGCACCCGGTGAGAGTTTTAAGCAGCCACATTTGGGACTCGAATCACAGTTGGCCATGTGGGCGTCCAGTAATACCACCACTACACTATCCGCTGGCCCTATTTTAAATTTTTTTAACTTGGCCATACACAAATACTAACCTCAATATTTAAAAAATGTTCACAATAACTTAAGAACGTGGAATTTTCATGTTTAATTTTTTCTTTTGCTTCAAAAAATTGGCTAGAGGATGTGCACACTTGCTGGAGACAGAGAGAGCAAGAGAGCACCCCACAGGGGCCGGCCACTCACAATTCCTCTCCTCCATTTACCCTTTCGGGATTTGGGGCACATGTGCACACACGCCCCGCATGTTCTTCAAGCCACTGGATGGGGACTTGAACTGGGCACTTGGCCATGTGGCATTTAGCCGCCTTAACTACCACACCATCGGCTTACCCTTTATTTTTAACTTTCTTTAAAAACAAAAAGTATTTAATTTTCTTTATTGTTATTATTATTTTAAATTTGCTATAGGGCACATGGGTGAGAGAGCAGGCTGCCAGGTCTGAGTCAAACCACGGTCTGTCATGAGGGAGTCCAGCACCACACCATCTGCTGGCCCCGAGTGTAATTTCCTAAAGTTTAATGAAAAACAACGAAGAGCTTAAAAACCAACTTACCATACATTGAAAATCCGTGAAAAGGGATTACACCTAAAAAAAATATATGTTTTTAATAATTGGTATACTTACTGATTATTAGGTAAACTTTAAAGAATTAAACTGAAAATAGTAAGGTTTCCTGTTCTAGTACAACTTTGTTATGAGTGTCAGAAGGACTCAGTGTTGGTAAACAATATGTTTTTAATATCTTAGAAGAGCAAACTAGAGATTTTCAAATATATCCTTAAATTAAGTTTCTATTGATAATGTTGAAAATAAAACTTTGGACACATGTATATGAAAACAGGACAAGGGTAGAAGGCAGATCATCAAATTAAGCTCAAGAACTATTGGGGCCGGCAAATGGCATGGTGGTTAAGGTTCTGGACTCCTGCATAGGTGACTATGGTTTGAGTCCCGGAATGGGTGGCTTGCTTTTTCTGTCTCCCTCTCTCTGTCTCTCTCTGATCAAATTAGAAATATAAATAAAATAATTCTTTAAAAACAAAAGAATTACTGGCTTGTCAGAAAAGTTATGATGTACTTTTTTCTATGCAGAAGTGCATCATGACTTTTCCAATAACCCAAAGTTATAATGATCTCAGAAAGCCAATAGACAGGGCTCTCCTGAAATAAATTTTTCTTTATATTAGAATCCAGTTGGTTAAAAACAAGTGAGCTTTTTATTTATTTATTTATTTATTTGTTTATTTATTTATTGGAGAGATTTTCACTATAGGGCGCGTGTGCTCGCCAGACAGACAGAGAGAGACATAGAGACAGAGAGTGAGAAATCACCCCCCAGGGGGGATGGTCATGCCGCAATCCCTTCTCCTCTATTCTCCTCTTGGGATCTTGGGCACACACGCACATGCGCCCGGCGTGAGTTTAAGCCACCTGGTCCGGGACGCGAACCGTGGTCAACTACGTGGGAGTCCAGCGACATAGCCATGACGCTAACTGCTGGTTCCCGAAAGACAAGTGAGTTTTTCAAGGCACTTCTTGAAAATATTACAGAAGACACCATGGGTGTTTAGTAAACTTGTTAAAACTTGTATCACAGTTTATGATTTAGAAGACGTATTAGCAAGAATATGTTATAAATTCAGTATAATCTGTGGAGAAAACCACACAAAAGTAAAGTACACAATCTTTTCAAAGAAATACTCCAGTCCTATCTTGGTGTGCCAAATGTCCAGCCACATTCTAACTGAATTGGGATCTGTACCGCTTCAATCCAAAGCAGAAGTTCTGTAATTTACACCACCCTATTCTTAACACTGCACTGTCAGGCTGCAAACACAGTACTGACCAAAACTATGCTTGCTTTTCCAGAAAATAGTCCAGACACGCTTTATGTATCTGAAATGCTCAGAAGCAAAAGCAGTGTAGGTCACTTTAGAGGTCACTTAGAGCGAATTCTAATATAGGAAGTTCTGTTTCAGTGTGAGATACATCCAGGTCATTCCCAATGCGACTCATGACAGCTTTGGACAAACTTAATTTGGGGAGTTATTGCTATACTGAGTCAGAATGCGGCTCCCTGTCACCCTGGTGCTGACCAGCACTGGACTTCGTGTGCTGATTGTCCTAAACAGGGGACGTTTACTGAGGGGACTTAGTCATAAGGCAGATGGTGGTGAGAGCTACCCTTCACACCTATGAAGGCGTAGGGGCAAGGGTGGGCAGGCCTTCCCAGAGCCTCCTACTCTGTCTCTTCTCGTCGACCGCAACCTATCGGCCGTAGGTATTACGGATGGCTTGGTACAGCCATACTATTCGTAGGACTCATCCGTTTTCTTTCCGGACTCAGCTTCTCTGTCAGACAAATGTCGAAACGCATTCCGTCCATGCCAAGATTGACTTTTTAAACATATCTACGTTCACTTCCTTTCCTCCCTCACCAAATACCCTCAGATGCAAGTCAGCTGGTCTCCACCCCTATGACCCCAACTCGGGACTGCTAAACCCAGGCTCTCCCCTCTTTGAGTGTCTGTCTTGATGGACTCACAGCCACTGACAGTTCCTTCTCAAACCTGAGCCCCTGTGACTGATGACACAGTGCAGATCAGGTTCCTGGACTCTCAGAGACCTCTGCTGGAATTTTTTTTTTTTTTTTTTTTTTTGGTTTGGTTTTTGGCTAGATCTCATTTCTACTCACTGCCTAAAGATAGCTCCCCATGACACTGTCATTTGTGTCCCCGCCCCTTCTACCAGTGTCCCCATTACTAGCCCACAGCTCAAACTGTTACCATAAAGGCTCAGTGTCCAGGGTCTCCCCTCGGACTCTGTTTCTGAAAATGACTCCTCACCACGAACGACAGCCATTCAGGGAGGACACCTTGGAGTCGTCCTCGCTGTCTAGTTCCCCCTCGGTCCTTCTATTCGGCATGACTACGTCCCTTTCTCCTCCCTATAGGAAAGTGGGTCCTTAACTCTGCAATGGGAGGCTGGCAGCTTCACTCCTCTTCCCTGTCCTATGACACGGATGCCGCCCGTCACCCCTGGACACAGGACGGGCTGTGGGCAACGCTCCCCCTCTGGTCCTCCAGCCCTATCCCATGTCCCAGCCCTTCAAAATGTTCTGCCATCCCTCCACCTTCTGCTGTTTCTTTTCCATTTCCCTTAGTAATTACAGACACATCATAGAAACTTTATCCATCTTTTCTAACTTTTCCACAATATACATGTTGACATGCGAAAGAAAAACTGAAAGGAACGTAAGCTAGCAGGTGGCAGGCATGTTCACTGGCTCACAGAGCTATGGGCTGGACCTGTCCGCATACCGTCTCTCAGAGCGGAGTGCGACCACACAAATCCCCCCACGTTCTTGTTCCTTCTTTCACTGCAGGGGCATTTCCATGAGCAGGGAAGGCAGGCCGAAATGAAGAATTGATGATTATTTTCACATTCTACAAATATTTATTAAGAACCTGCTAAGTGCAGTAGCATCCTAGCCAGGACAAGACACTTTCAATAAGTAAACTGACGACAAAGATATTCATGAACTGCCAAGCAGCAAAAAGTATTAGATAAGAGTACGCTTCAGCTTTGCCAGGGTTGGCCAGGGATCAAGGCTCCTAAAAAGGCTACTCAGTCCACTTCGTCAGAGAAGGGCAAAGTCTAATTCTGGCAGACAAAAGCAGGAGGCATAAGGAGCAGGGAAGAATCCATTAGCACACTGGGCGGCATACCACCTAGAACATTCCTTTCATCTTAGGGGCTGTCATGTGCTTGGCCAGTTTTTCAAATCCCTTCCTCTGCCTCTCATCACTTGAGCCTTTCGAGGGTCAGATTTCACTCGGCTGGCCACCACCCACGGGTGTGCTTCCAACAGGCATTGGGATGCGTGGGGAACATCTCGTATCTGGCCTCTGTGTGCTACAGCCTGCCCTGGGCAACGTTCTAAGATCCCAGCTTTCCCTTATGCACCCAATGAAAGTCTAAAATACTAACTGCCTCCACCATTCAATGCGAATCACTTCATAAAGTGATGATGTAATAGCCCCGGTGAAGATGACAATAGTAAACATTGCCAACAAAAATAAATCTTGAACTAGATGAGTTATAAATAGTAAATATGACTCAGAAAATACCCCAAATATTAACATGCTTTGTACTTACTAAACGTTTTCCCTTCATTTCCTCACTGCCTCTATTAGCAGCCAGCAGGGGAGTTGTACCCCAACTCTTACGTCTGATTCGCTTCCATTTCACCCCAGTTGAAAGCAATTTACACTCTTTGACTTAGTTTTATTAACACAGTTCATTTAATTCATTTGTTGAAATAATAATTTCCTCTGTTTATGCTTAGTCCATATGTAGTTTATAGGTCAGTAAAGATTAGGAGGATGCTTAAATTGTTTTTTAGTTGCTTCCATTATCTTTCTGAATTACAACTTCAGACTACCACTTTCTTACTTTATTTCAGTCGTTCAAATTTCCTAAAACTTCAGAACATAACCATATTTAAATACCAATCTAAAAATCTGACTATAAATAAAACTTTAATAAAGCTTTTGATTTATGTCTAAAGTTACACTTCAAATGAACTTTGGGTTATGTGATGTTTTAAAAGTTATTCGTTAATACAGTTGACAAAGTACTTGCTGTTTATCAACTTGACACTTGCAAGGAGATTTAAGATGATATATTTTTTATATTGCCAAATGTTCCCTGTGTGTGTGTGTGTGTGTGTGTGTGTGTGCATGTGTGTGTTGGGGGAACTATCCCAGGTTAAGAATCACTGCTTTAGGGCCTGAAACTCCCCATCCTAATGACAATTAGCAATTAATTACTTTCTCCTGTCTTGCAGGACACAAATGGTATTAGCAAATTTTAATGGCTATTTATTGCGTGTGATAGTCGCAGATCTGGGTGTGTTCTTCCTGTAGGTCTGGCTTCTTTGCTTCTATTCTTCCTCTATACCCTTCTATGTTCACCCCTGCATCCATTCACTCACTCAGAACATCTGCTGAACACAGGCTTTATGCCCTGTGTGACTGCAGGTCCTAGACGTGCTGGCCATCAGGACGACCAAGGTCCTTATTCTACAGAGCTTCCTTCTGGGGACACTCCTCTACAGAGCAGTCAGAGTACCTCTTGAAAGCATCAATCGGAGCCTAGCCCTGGTGTGCAGTGGGTAAGCACTGGACAGAGGAAGCCAGACCCCACATGGCTGACCAAGGTGTGAGTCTCGGCCCATCAGCTCGAGAAACATGCCTTACATGTGGCATGCCCAGGATCCTGATGGGGAACTGGAAGTGAAAGGACTGTGGCATGCCCGAGCTCCGTCGAGGGGCGCTCTCTCTCCCTTGCTCTCTCTTTTTCCATGTGTACGCACGCTCCCTGGCACTACGATTTTTGTTAAGTAATAATCAGGAACTGGAGGAGAGAGATCGCTAAGAAGATGAGAGAAGGGAACTCCCAACCTCTGTTCCTCCGCCAAAGCAATAGTTAAGAACTGTCAGAGTAAACGGTTTTGTATTCTATGATCTAATTTAAAAAAAAAAAAAAAAAAAAAAAAAAAACAACTTAAAACAACTGGGAGGAATGCTTAAAAATGGAGGAACTTTGGACAGAGAGTGTCATTTTAATTCACCTGCCCACCACGCACTAGTCTGAGCTTGGCAGCCCACATTCCCCGTACAGGATGCTAGTGCCAGAGCCAACAATACGGACCTTGTGTCCAAAGTTCTGTGTGTGTGTTTTGGGCTGTCCAGTAGCTGCTGAGGGGCTGTCATAGGAGCTTGCGGACCTTGTGTCCAAAGTTCTGTGTGTGTGTCTTGGCCTGTCCAGTAGCTGCTGAGGGGCTGTCACAGGAGCTGTCCTGTTTCACCTGCTCCTCTCAGAGCTTTTTCAGGACGGAAGTGACCTGCTGGGTGACATTTGCCCAAAGAAGTTAAAAGCAAGTATTCTAACTGCAGCCACCTGGAAGGAACAACAGATGGGACGAGTAGGAGACAGTGAAGAGCCCGAGAAGGAAAAAGCTTGAGAAGGAGCGACATGAGGCCAGGGGTTTAAAAAGCTCCCATGGGGCAGACTCCCTGGCCTGGTGATTAAGGCAGGCTGATCGCACGTGGCTGCCTGTGCATTTCAAGCCCCAGACACGGTGGCTTGAGAAGCATGCTGTGTGTGTGTGTGTGTGTGTGTGTGTGTGTGTGTGTGTGTCCAAAACCCTGGAGGGAGGGCTGGAGGAGAAGGGATTTCAGCATGACAATTCCCCAAGGGCGAGGAGGGGGAAGGAACAGGAAGCTTTGCTTTCTCCTCTCCCTCCCTCTCTGTCTCTTTTTCTCTCTCTTATAAGTACACTTGCATTGTAGAAAACATTTTTAAAAGCTCCTGTGTATATGGGGAATCTAGAAAAGACCTGACAAGATGGAAGCACGGCTGGGTCAGTGACCAACAGTCTGTCCCTGAGCCATAAGCAAACCTATTCATGTGCCCCTGAGGCCAGAAAGCCAGGCCAGCTTGGTAGCAGCGGTAGAGGTGTCGAGATTTCAAAGTAATGGCATCTTTCGCAGGGGTTGGGAATGGGGCAGGTGGTATAACATGGCGCTTAGGGTTGCCTTGTTAAAAAAAAGGACGGTAGACTTTCTGACCCTTTTCTCTTCCTAGAGAAGAATCCTCCCCCACTCTGGTAAGTTCTAAAGCAACGTGAGAGAAGAAATGATTCTGCAGAGTTACACTTATGAAAAGCTTGCATGTATCTTTTTATTCTGGATAAAAAAATCTTTCTAGAACCTATTATACACTTTTTTTTTTTTTTTACTTTCTCCATTTAACCATGTTCCTTTCTTTTAAAAGACACCATAATGAACTCAGTGACATTTTCTGAAGTGATAAGGATATTGCTTCTGAAGCCAGGCGGGTGGGTTCAAAGCCCGACTTTATCACTCACCAGATGGACAGGTTAACTCTTTGTACCCACACCTTATCTATAAATAGGAATAACATTAGTGCCCGCCTCAGATGGTTCTTGTAAGGATTAAGGGAGTCAATACCTGTAATGTACTTCACACGCTGCCTGGTATTTAGTGCTGCTTGGGAAATGTCAACTGTTCCTGCTAAGACTACTGTCATAATTATTACAGCACCATATTTTGCTGATATGTGTGTTTGTGAGAGAGGGAGGAGAGAAAGAGAGAGAGAGAGAGAGGCCTTGAGGCATTTAAAGATATCAAAGTATAATATGCTACACCCTAGTGATGCCTCTTTAAAGGGTGCAAGGTTGACTTTGGTATAAAATGGCCCCAGATTTATTTGCTAGAGTGTTCTTACATGCGGCTTTATAGATTTTACATTTTCCATTGCAAGGTCTTGGATTTTCACTTCTCACTGTTACCCATCTTTTTTTTTTTTTAATTTTATTCATGAATATCAACCTCTTTCCAAGCTTCTATTTTTGAAGGGGCCCAAAACAAAAGCAAAAACAAAAGAAAACAACAAACCCCCAAAATAGAAAGTACACCAAGTTTGTTAGACACATGTGTTAAATGGAGCTAATATGTTCTAAATTAAGTCGAAAACACTCCTTTAAGAATAGAGAGAAGGAACTTGAGCCCATGGGTGTCTCTTTTGGCCGTTCAGAGCTATTTATGTATTTCCTGTCTCTTCCATAAATATAAAAAGTGATCAGAAAATGAAGTTTCTGCAGTAATAAACGTAACTGGCTATATGTAACATTAAAATGAACAGGCCTCTAGTTGAGTTAAAATACATACTCACTACATTCCTACCGCATGCGAGGTTCTGGGGCAGGGGGAGACGAATGATATGATCCTGAACCTCACAAAGCTTGTAATTTAGAGGACAAGAGAAGGCACGAACAATGCCAAGGTAACCCGGCATGAGAGACTGCAGATTTTCATGCCAGGTCCTATGGGGACGTAGAGGAGGTCCTTATCTAACCTGGGAACTCAGGTAAGGCTTCCTGGAAATTGTGATGGAGGACTGAGCCTTGACGCAGCCCCGTGGAGAGAGGCTGAAAGGGCTGCTCTAAGTGTGGGAGCAGGAGAGGCGGTGAGGCAGGAGGCCGCGTTGTGCGTTTGTGAGGACGTAGCTGTGTACATGAAACACAGTTTGATACTGCCATAATCCCCCCAAAAAAAAGAGGCCCAGCCAGGGTCACCAGTGGTGCAACGCTCTGCAGAGATGGAGGGCTGTGGGAGATCAGGGTCTGGGCCCCAGGGTGATCCTGTACGTCGGCGCCTGGGCGTGCGCTCGTGAGCCTGGCTGGGTGGTGAAGGGTGGGAGGAAGACCGTGCCGTGACACCTTATCAAGAGCACTTGCCTTTCTCTCCCTCTCATGAAATAAAGAAACAAATAAAAATGCAATGAAAAATGGTGAGAGCAGACCAAGAGGTCCTCATAGGCCATGCTGAGAAGCTTCTATGTTACTTGTTAAGAGATGGGGAGCCATTAGGGCCAGCAGATAGCATGTTGGTTAAGGCACTGGACTGCCACAGGGCCGACTGCTGTTTGGGTCCTGGACCTGGTGGCTTGAAAATCACCCTGGGTATGTGTGTGTGCCTACAGTCCCAGGAGGAGACCAGAGGAGTAGGGATTGTGGTGTGGCCATCTGTTCCCTTGTTTCCTCCCCTCTCTCTCTCTCTCTCTCTCTCTCTCTCTCTCTCTCTCTCTCCAGGAGTACAGGCCGTATGGCAAGAACCTTAAATTTATTTTTTTTTTTAAAGATGGAGAGCCATTAAGAAAATTTTGAGAAAAACGGCACTTTTCAGATTTTTGTCTTAGGTGTGTAGCTCAGATAGCAGTGTAAAAGACAGACGAAACTAGAAAGACCGAGGAAACAGATAAGGTAGGTAGTTGTTGCAAATTAATGACCCAGAGACAGAAAGGTCCCTAAGAGGGCAAGATAGCAACTATGGGGGGAGAGAGAGGCCCAGACAGATCCATTCAGAAGGTGGGATCTCAAGGCCTGCTGGCTTACCGCATGACAGAGTGCGAAACAGAGCAAGCTAGAATGGCTACACGGGATAGTACTCGAGTTACTGCAGATGGTAGTGTGATTAACTGAGGGGAAAATTAGCTTTTTTGATTTGTGTTTTTTTTTTTTTTCTTTTTGGGGGTGGACATAGGAAGATAATGTAGTGAGTTCAGATTGGGGCACATTAAGTGTGAGGCAATTAGAGAAGAGATTGGAACTGGGGATAAAAATTTAGAGTAATTAACACACAGATCCAAGAGAGCAGTGGGAAGACCCTAAGAAAGCATGTGAAGAGAGAAGAGCGGCAGAACGAGAGTGAGATGTTTGAAGAGGGGCCGAGGAAAGAGCCTGGAGAAGCTGGGATGGCGCCTTGCGAGGCCCGGGGAGAACAGCGCCAGGAAAGCCAAGTACAGGTCGGATCACTGTGGGCGGCCGGATGAGTGCACTCACGGCGCTGGCGTCCTGAGCACTCGGGACATGCGGGCCCTGTGCTGCCTCTGCACCTCCTTACTCTGCACCAACAGGCTGCACACCGAGACTCTGAGGTCCAGAAAAGTCACCTACCTTACCTGACGTCACAGAGTGAGCTGGCAGAACCGGGATCTGAACCCAGTCTGCTGGACTACAAAGCCCATGTCCTCAGCTCTGCTGGAGTAAAAGGACGTCCTCAGGACCCAACTTAATATGATCATACTAAGGACTGGTATGTGTTGCTTTTCCAAGAAGCACATATTAAAAACTGTCTAGTAAGCTCAAAGGGGTGTTCGGCATTTAATAAGGCCACTTACACCTACTTGCTATCATCAGAAGAGGCTATTTTAGTGCCACTTCTCCGTAACCCTTTTCTCTCATAAACACCACACTGGTCAAATTATAACAGTGGAAAATGCAGCACAAGGTGCTCCATTCAGCTGACCGGAGCATTCTCCGATAAAGCCAAGAACCTAACTGGACGAGTTTGTGCTCTGCAGAGGAAGGCTGAAGACTGCTCTGAGTCGAGACATCTCAGCCAGCTCAGCTTTCTCACAAATTTACCACTGGTCTCGGGAGAGCCAGAGAGGGTATGTATAACGTAGAGCAAACCTACGACGAGTGTGGGAAAGCTATGCACGCAAAGGTCTGTTTGAGATAATGAAGTAGTGTCCATTTAAAGATGGGAGTGAGAAAGTCGCCTTCATATTACAAACCTGTAATCTTGCTATTTCCCACTAGAGGAAGCACTAGCATCAACTTACCGTTAGGTGGATAAAAGACGGCGTATTCTTCCAGCCCTAGTTTTCCTGGTAAGAGAAAAGTCACAGGGAATTTAAGTATGATTAAGTGAAATAAACCTTTATAAATGAGCTTATACCGTGTATGTAGCAATAATTAATGGAATTTTAAAAACCACTCTAGTCCAATCTTACTTTATTTCCTGATACAAAATTAATCTGAAAATTTGCCAATTTTTTGCTATTACAAAACCATTGCATGATTTAAAATCAATAATATAAACGTAAGTAAGAGGAAAGTGATACAAAGTAATAATTAAAATGCTTTCAAGCTGATTAAGCAATGGAGGGGAAGGATCTATTGGATCATCGGAAAAGTCATAATGCATTTTTTCATGCTTTTCCTCACAAAAATGGGCTATAATTTTTCTGACAACCCAATATTTATAAGCACAGAATTTTTGCTAATTATAAATATTTCAGTTTTGCTTATTATAAATATTTCAATTCTATTCATTAAAGTAAAGTCCTGGGCTTTGCAATAACTCATTAGTTTACACTTTTGATGGCATGTGCCGAAAAGGTAAAAATTAAAAGCCTTTAACTATAAGGTGTTCAAAATTCCTGAATCTTAAAACAGTGCATGTGCCCTAAGAACAGAGCTAAATGTTTGAAATAAGAATTGCTCCAGAAAAGTGAAGTATATTCACTATAATCAAATTTTAAAGCGAGTTTTAAGAAGCAATTTCCCTTTAAAACTTTTAAGAATATCAGGTTTTTCCCCCTTCCGCTGAATTGGTAGCTTTGAGCATAATAACTTTTCAAACACCTTCGAGTCTATTGAAAAGTCACATAAATTCTTGCGCTGGGCTTTAAAGTAAAAATTTCAATTAAAACAAGGTTGTTCTCTTTCAAGGTGGTGGCAGAGAAAAAATGAAGAGTAAGAAGTGTGAGCAGGTTAGTTTAGGCCGAGACAAGAACTGATCCTGTGATCAAGAAAAGAACGGCATAATGAAAACAGACAGGTCGATAAACATTGCTCAGTCAGATACTGAGGGGACAGAATCTACATTAAATACGGTCCCTTGACCATGTGGTTTACAATTCAGACTAACCTATGAAGCAGTGTATGTTTGCTAACTTTTCTGGCAAAAGTATGTGTTTAGAAATTTAAAGGAAAGGATAATTTGGGGCCGGCAGGTGGCGTGGTGGTTAAGGATGCTGGACTCCCTCATGGACGACCATGGTTCGAGTCCAGACCTGGTGGCTTGCTTTCTCACTTTCCCTCTCTCTCACTCTGTCCCGCTCTGGTTAAATGTAAAAGTAAGTAAGTAAATAAGTAAATAAACAAATAAATAAGGCTAAATAAAATAATTCTTAAAAAAATAAATAAAGGAGAGGGAAATTGACAATAAGGTGGCGAGCCTGAAGAGGCAGGATAGTTCTTTAAGGGCCTGGACTTTAAGGGTGGAGAAGCCAAGTTAACTAGGTTAAGACAGTCCCAGCTGATGGATGGCTTTAAAATCCTGTCTGGGTGTAGTGGTGGGCCCATTAGGTAATTGAGTTCTACAGTCAGTTTTCAACAGATGATATTAAAGAAACGAAAAGCTCCCGTGAGCTCCATGGAGAAGCCGTGGCACTAAGAGAGCCCTGGGCTGCGGGGTGGGAGAGGGAGAGGCAGGCCAGATGCAGCACGAGGTCATGGGGCTTGACCTAGGGCAGGAGCCGGCACTCAGGCAGGCAGGGCGTCTTCAGGACATGCAGGAGAAGTGGGTTCTTCCTGGACACAACAGAAGGACCATACACAACAGGTCGATAAGCTCGCGATGCTGGGTGATCACCGCTGAATGAAAAGGAAGCTAGAAAGGAAACTTCACTGGGAAACCAACTTTCTGCAGTTAGTAACTAACTTGGGAACGAACCTTCAGCTAGTTGGGACCTAATTTTCAGCTGAAATTAATTCATTTTTAGATGAAGGCAGGATACTGAAATAGTGGTATCTTTTTTTTCTTTTTTTTGGAGAGGTTTTTGCTACAGGGAGCGTGCGCTCGCCAGACAGAGACAGAGAGACAAAAAGCGAGAAATCACCCCCCAGGAGGGATGGCCACGCCTCAATCCCTTCTCCTCCATTCTCCTCTCGGGATCTTGGGCACACACGCACACGCTCCCGGTGTGAGTTTCAAGCCACCGGGTCCAGGACGTGAACCGCAGTCGACTACGTGGGAGTCCAGCGACATAGCCATTACGCTAACTGCTGGTCCCAAAATAGTGATATCTTTTAGGGATCTAGTGATGAAGAGGAGGAAGCACTAAAAATAGCAATTAGAGACCTAATAGCATATACATCACACCAAAATTTTAAGTGTGGTAGAACATTTTGAGTGAAGGAATATGGAGGGTTAAAAAACAGTAAGGGGGGAAAGTGGTTGGGAGATGGTGGGTGTGAGACCAAAAAAAGAAAAGATGATAAATAATAAACTTTTTTACAAGAGAAAAACAAATCAGAACCTTTATTTCTTGTGTTGTCTGAAACAGTTCACAATAGTGTATTTGTTCATTTATCTGTTATCACAAGAGCACTTTGCCTAAAAGGGAGGTGTGACTACTGTGCAAAACTGCAGGTTTTCATGAATTTGCCAGCCACTGTTATTAATATCACTTTAATTTTGGTACGCGTGAAGCTGCAACTGAAATTTATTTTGTCAATGTGTTTTGAATAAACTGAATAAAGTTTTTGTTTAAAAAAAGTAAAAAAAAAAAAAAAGAAAAAAGAAAAAGCAGATCTGTGTAATACACTCGCAGGATGGCGAATAAAACAGCGACTGTGGAGATGGCAAACAGGGGGCAAGGCCACCCCAAACCCTGCTGCCGGAAACCACCCAACGCGGATCTGTGGGAGGCTGCTTGGGCACTGAGTAAGTGAGAGCGGCGGGACGGTTACAAGGATGTCTGAGGAAGCCTAGGTAATTACTTCACAACGCACCGTTTGACAACACCCATATAGGCTACACAGTGAACATTCCTGGCACAATTATGTGATTCTTATAAAACACTTCCTTAATGTTACTAACACTTTACCTCTTATGTACGATTTTGGTGGTGAAGCACTGTTGTATGCAAAGTGACCCAACACAGTTGTATCTCGGGAAAAGCAAAGTAATACCTGGGTGTAACAAAACAAAACAAAACAAACAATTAAGCACTGTTAGAAAACCAAGGAATTGATCACGTTTCTTCTGCGGGAAGCGTTGAGGTAGCATGGTACGCCTGTGCGGCTGGAGAGCGCCCTCTATCGGCACACCTATGGTAAACGTGACCGTGGGATGCCAGGTGGGGAGGGCCGAAGTGCTTCCAAAGATTCCTCGCTGTGTGTGGCCTAAACCTTGAATAACGGCAGAAATTACATGGTGTTAATAACCAGTTGATTCTTTGCTTGTATTTTTCTATCCAGAAGAAAACTCCGGGGAGCGATTTAACAGACGAGAACTGTATAGCCCTGACCCTGAATAATTACAGCGGCACAGAGCCAGGTGGGGTTCAGGGACCTGGCACTAGCTCATTGCTGGACGTGGCAGGCGGCTGGGCACGTCAGGGACGGAGGGAAGGCACTGGTGCTCCGGAAGGAGGGCGGAAGCACGAGTAGTTGCCTGGTTATCCTGAGCAGCAGGTGGTATAGCAACCAGAGGTGGAAACGCGAGGGGTAAAAAGCCAGGACTGAGGAGAGCCACTGGGGAAAACGGATTGCTAACATGCGTCTGGAATTGGGGAGCAGGAGTACAATCCCCGAGAAACGGATTAGTGCTAGGAAATCTGGATCCTGATATTAGAAGACCTGAAGTTCGAGAGGTTACTGAGAAAATAACTCAGGATGACAGCAAAAGGCAGAAAGGGTGTCAGGGCAGAGAGAGCAGCAAGAGTGAATACAGAAGGAAACGCACCGGGTCCCAGAGGCGAGGAACGGGACTCAGCTCTGGGACAAGGACAGGTTTGGAGATTGGGCTCGGTCAGGCTCAATAACAGAACAGGAACCAACCACTGCCACTCGTTTGCTCCTATTGTTTATTTATATATACACTTTTAATTACCCTTTTCTCGCTGTGCTCAGACATGAACCACATAAAACAGTCAATTTCTTTCTCCTACTCCTATCATGCACCAGGCATTGTTTTAGGTGCTCGATGCCTGGGATACATCAAACGAAAACATAAACAAGCATATGTATGTATACGTATGTGTGTGTGTATATATATATATGTCCATAAGGCATGTGCACTCACCAGAGAGAGACAGAGAGAAGCAGTGAGAGGCAAAGTGCGGAATCACCCCCAGGGGGGATGGCCACGCTGCAATCCCTTCTCCATTCTCCTCCTGGGATTTTGGGCATGCGCACACTTGCCCCTGGCATGATTTTCAAGCCTCCAAAACTGGGACTTGAACTGTGTTCGGCCATATGGGAGTCCAGTGCCCCAACTACTATGCCACCTGCTGGCCCCTGCCCTTACAGTCTTAAAGACTACATATGCTACACGTATTTATGGTTAAAAACTGGAAATACAGATAACCAAAAGGGGAAAAGACACTAATAATCTCACCAGTGTTAGTATTTTCTTTCTTTCTTTCTTTCTTTTTTTTTTTGAGAGGTTTTCGCTATAGGGTGCGTGCACTCCCCAGACAGACAGACAGACAGAGAGACAGAAAGCGAGAAATCACCCCCCAGGGGGGATGGCCATGCCGCAATCCCTTCTTCTCCATTCTTCTTTCAGGATCTTGGGCACACATGCACATGCACCCAGCGTGAGTTTTAAGCCACTGGGTCTGGGACACGAACCGCGGTTGACTACGTGGGAGTCCAGCGACATAGCCATTACGCCAACTGCTGGTCCCACCAGTGTTAGTATTTTGATGTACATCTTTCTACACTTAAAAAATGTATATAAGTTTTTCAATCAAAATAGTTAATATACATACTGCTTCATAAACTATTTTCTTTCGACATTAGGAAATAAACATGTTCTATGCACTTTGTTAATGGCGACTATCCTATCTGTATGAAGGAACAGGGATTTACCTAACCTACCTTACCGTGGAACACTGACCTCCACTCCTTGACTATGAGCAATGCTTCAGTGAACGTCCCTCTAGCTCCCCCTTCATGTACATCTTTAATCATTTCCGTTTCCTAAAACCGTGCTACCTGTCTGGTAAAGTGCTATGGGCATTTTAAGTTTAACATTTTGAATACCTGGTGCCAGATTGCTTGCCATAAAGATAGGTATTTTTCTGTTTTTAGATTTTTATTTTCAGCATATCCAGTAATAAGATAGAAGACATTTTCTCTAGTTCTCAACATGGGTTAACGTCACCTTTTTTTTTTTTTTTTTTTTTTTTTTTGGAGGTTTTT